AAAGGGGGGGCCACGAACCCGGTTTTTTTAGGGAAAAAAAACCCTAGTTAGGGCCACAGAATTCAAAAATAAAGGGAAACAACAGAATTGTTACTCGTGCCAGAGAATTGTTTATTAGGGGCCACAGAAAGTTATTGGGGCCCACGAATTTTTACCCAGGGACAGAACGAATTTTTTACTGAGGGGCCAGAGAATTTTTACTTAGGGCCACAAAAAATTTTAAATTTGGGGGCCACAAAATTTTTACTCAGGGCCCAGACAAAAATTTGTTATGAGGGCCAGAAAAATTGTTATCAGGAAAAGACAGAATTTTTTACTGATCCCAAAAATTTGTTACTTAGGGCCACAGAAATTTAAACTTGGGGCCCAAGAATTTTACTCAGGGACGGGACAGAAATTTTACTGAGTGCCAGAGAATTTTTACTCAGGGACAGACAAATTTTTTAAATGGTCCCGAAATTTTTCCCTCGGGGCCCCCAAAACTTTACTTAGGGCCACATTTTTTTTTCCTCGGGGACAGACAGAAATAAGTTTACATAGGGCCACAATAAACCACTCTGAACTTATAAATACTGAGTGCTCAGACTATAATAATTATTAAACTCATGGGGTACAGACGCAAGAATGAAGTTTACTGAAGTGCACAGAAGAATTGTTACAGTCATGCGGGACATACCAGAATTGCTATACGGAGGTGCACATTACATGAATTGTGTACTTAGGGCCAAGAAACTTGAATTTAGGGCCACGAGAATCCTTTACCAGGGTACAGACAGAAATTGATACTAGATCCAGAGAATATGTTACACAGGGACAAAAGACAAGCATTTGTTACTGCAGATGAATTGTTACGCAGGGCCACAGAAATTTGTTAAACACTTAAGGACACAGACAGATTATTAGACTCTACGGACGGATAGCGATAATTATGATAAGTTCAGTGCCAGAGAATTGTTACACAGGCACAACTTAATGTTAAAACTGATTGCCAATAATTGTTACTCAGCGGACAATCAGAATATGAGTTACTAGAGGGGCCAGAAATTGTTACTCAAGGGCCAGACTGAACTAGTTACTGAGTGCCAGGAGAATTTTTACTCAGGGACAGACAGAATTGTTACTGAGTGCCAGAGAAACTTGTTACTCAGGGCCAGACAGAATTGTATACTTTAAAGTGGCCAAGAATTGTTACTCAGGGACAGACAGAATTGTTACTGAGTGCCAGAGAATTGATTACTCAGGGACAGACAGAGATTGTTACTGAGTGGCCAGAGAATTGTTACTTTAGGTCCCACAGAATTGTTACTTAGGGCACACACAGAAATCTTTAATGTAGGGACCAAGCCACAGAATTGTTACTCGCAGGGACAGACAGAATTGTTACTGAGAGTTGTTACTTAGACACAGAATTGTTACTCGAGGGACACAGAATTGTTACTGAGGGCACAGAACACAGGTAGAATTGTTACTGAGGGCCACAGAATTTTACTCAGGGACTCACAGAATTGTTACTGCATGGGACACAGAATTGTTACTCAGGGCCACAGAACTGTTACTTAGGGACAGGAGAATTGTTACTTCAGGGACAGACAGAATTGTTACTCAGGGACAGACAGAATTGTTACTGAGTGCCAGAGAATTGTTACTCAGGGCCACAGAACATTTACTGTAGGGACCACAGAATTTTTACTCAGGGACAGACAGAATTGTTACTGCAAGAACTGCCCACAGAGGGACCAATTGTTACTCAGGGACAGACAGAATTGTTACGGACGTGCCAGAGAATTGTTACTCAGGGACAAGACAACATTGTTACTGCAGGGCCACAGAATTGTTACTTAGGGACCACAGAAAACTGTAACTTAGTGGCCACAGAATTGTTACTCAGGGACAGACAGAATTGTTACAAGTGCCAGAGAATTGTTACTCAGGGGCCACAGAAGACTTGTTACTTTAGGTGCCACAGAATTGTTACTCAGGGCCACAGAAACTTTACCTCCATAACACGCTTTATCATGGGCCAACAACAGAATTTTTACTCAGGGACAGACACAGAAACTTAGTTACTCGAACACAGTTTCCACCAGAATTGTTACTCAGGGACAGACAGAATTGTTACTGAGTGCCAAGAGAATTGTTACTTAGGGGCCACAGAAACTTTAATTAGGGCCACAGAATTTTTACTCAGGGACAGACAGAGATTGTTACTCGAGTGCCACAGAATTGTTACTCAGGGACACAGAAACTGTTACTGTAGGGCCACAGAATTTTATACACAGGGACAGACAGAATTGTTACTGAGTGCCAGAGAATTGTTACTCAGGGACAGACAGAATTGTTACTTAGGGCCACAGAATTGTTACTCAGGGCACAGAAACTTGTATTAGGCCAGAGAATTGTTACTCAGGGACAGACAGAATTGTTACGGAGTGCCAGAGAATTGTTACTCAGGGCCACAGAAAACTTGTACTTAGTGCCAGAGAATTGTTTACTCAGGGACAGACAGAATTGTTACTGAGGGCCACAGAAATTGTTACTCAGGGACAGACAGAATTGTTACTCGAGTGCCAGAGAATTGTTACTGAGGGCCACAGAACTGTTACTTAGGGCCACAGAATTGTTACTCAGCCACAGACACAGAATTGTTACTTTTTAGGGACACAGAATTGTTACTGATAGGGCCACAGAACTTTTACTTACAGGGCCACAGAATTGTTACTCGGACACATTGAACAGACTTGTTACTGAGGGCCACACAGTAACTGTTACTTAGGGGCCACAGAATTGTTACTCAGGGACCACAGAATTTACTGAGGGCACAGAATGTTACTTTAGGGCCACAGAATTGTTACTCGGGACAGACACAGAATTGTTACTAGGGCCACAGAATTGTTACTCAGGGACACATAAATCGTTTAATTAAAGAGTATGTCAGACACAACATGCAGAGGAGTGGCAGAGGAGGCAATTTTTAGGAGCGAGCAGACGTTGGCAGCAGAGGTAGGGGTCGAAGACGGCAGCCACTATTCGCAGCAGAGGCCAGTGCTCCCGGTTCATATCCAGCGGTCGTGTCTCCCACCGACAATACCCTGCCGTCATACGATTGGTTGGCTCGGTCGTCTTCCTTTCCCAGGTCACCTCTGACACCTACAGCCAATTGACGGTCGGTGGGTTACGTCAGACACACCGTTAGTGGATGGCCCTGAGGAGAAACCGACCAAGCCACTGAAATCAGGTCATCTTACCTGAAAAGTATGTCCTTGAATCAAGTTCCCTTCACCAAGCGAAGTATCGAATTGCTGTGAGGCTCAGCCCCTAACTGTACATGAGGAAGAGCTAAACAGAGGAGGCGGTACAGGGAGGATATCAGGGGGGAGACATCCGCCTTTTCAGCAGCCTAGGCAAGAAGTGTGGCGAGAGAGAGTGGCCGGTAGCCGGTCTAGAGGCAGGTCTGTCTCTGACCCAGAGAGGTCGGGGGGCTAAAGTAGTGAGGCGGGGAGGACCCTACTTGATAGATGCTTGATCGCACTTGGCAGCCTCGTCGTCATCCCTGCAATTTGTTCGCATCATCACCTGCAGAGGAGGTGGCAGCTTGGCTGTGAGGCGAAACAGTCGGTGTGGTCTGCCCAGGAGACAGCAGTTGGTCCAGCACTATGTCAGTCAAGCAGTGTCAGTGGAGCCATCGCACACGAGTAGTGCGGCCAGCTTCCACTGCTTGGAGACCTACCACCACGGCAGTAGATGGTGCCGGTGTGACACGGAGGAAGCAGCAGTCCAGCCTAGTGAGGGTATACGGGGGCAAAGTTTCCTATACTCGGTTATTGACATGTTGCAGGACCACCTAATCTGCATGGGCCGCTGTCTTACTTCGCCGAGTGAAGTACCGCCTCCTCATGTCGATCTGTGGCCAGAGTCAAGCGTGTCTCTCAATGCTGGGACTATTTGGGCCTGTACAATGGGAGACCTCCCATTGCTGCTGTCTCCATCGCCACACTCTGCCATGTGCCACTTTCAGGTCTCCCTCACACAACCGTGCTGGTGTGTTCCCCTGGTTTTTTTGACATAGGGTGCTGGCAGATTACGGGCCTCCCATAGCTGCTGCCAGGCCCCTAATCTGCCATAGGGCCCCTATATACGCTCCTCATGCTGCTGCCAGGTCCAGAGTCTCTCATGGGTCCCTGTACGGCCTCCATTGCTGCTGTCTCCTCTCGCCACATCTGCCTGTGCCACTTTCAGGTCTCAACACTGCTGGTGTGTTGAATTTTTTGACATAGGGTGCTGGCAGATTACGGGCCTCCCATAGCTGCTGCCAGGCCCCTAATCTGCCATGGGCCCCTATACCGCTCTCATGCTGTGCCAGCAGTCCAGAGTCTCTCATGGGTCCCTGTACGGCCTCCCATTGCTGCTGTCTCCATCGCCACACTCTGCCATGTGCCACTTTCAGGTCTCTCTCACACACTGCTGGTGTGTTCCATTTTTTGACATAGGGTGCTGGCAGATTACGGGCCTCCCATAGCTGCTGCCAGGCCCCTAATCTGCCATGGGCCCCTATATACCGCCTCCTCATGCTGCTGCCAGGTCCAGAGTGTCTCATCATGGGTCCCTGTACGGCCTCCCATTGCTGCTGTCTCCATCGCCACACTCTGCCATGTGCCACTTTCAGGTCTCCTCACACACTGCTGGTGTGTTAGAATTTTTTGACATAGGGTGCTGGCAGATTACGGCCTCCCATAGCTGCTGCCAGGCCCCTAATCTGCCATGGGCCCCTATATACCGCCTCCTCATGCTGCTGCCAAGTCCAGAGTCTCTCATGGGTCCCTGTACGGCCTCCCATTGCTGCTGTCTCCATCGCCACACGAATCTGCCATGTGCCACTTTCAGGTCTCCTCACACTGCTGGTGTGTGTCCAATTTTTTGACATAGGGTGCTGGCAGATTACGGGCCTCCCATAGCTGCTGCCAGGCCCCTAATCTGCCATAGGCCCCTATATACCGCCCTCCTCATGCTGCTGCCAGGTCCAGAGTCTCTCATGGGTCCCTGTACGGCCTCCCATTGCTGCTGTCTCCATCGCCACACTCTGCCATGTGCCACTTTCAGGTCTCTCACACTGCTGGTGTGTTGAATTTTTTGACATAGGGTGCTGGCAGATTACGGGCCTCCCATAGCTGCTGCCAGGCCCCTAATCTGCCATGGGCCCCTATATACCGCCTCCTCATGTGCTGCCAGGTCCAGAGTCTCTCATGGGTCCCTGTACGGCTCATTGCTGCTGTCCATCGCATCGCACACTCTGCCATGTGCCACTTTCAGGTCTCCTCCTCACACTGCTGGTGTGTTGAGAATTTTTTGACATAGGGTGCTGGCAGATTACGGGCCTCCCATAGCTGCTGCCAGGCCCCTAATCTGCCATGGGGCCCTATATAACCGCCTCCTCATGCTGCTGCCAGGTCCAGAGTCTCTCATGGGTCCCTGTACGGCCTCCCATTGCTGCTGTCTCCATCGCCACACTCTGCCATGTGCCACTTTCAGGTCTCCTCACACTGCTGGTGTGTTGAGAATTTTTTGACATAGGGTGCTGGCAGATTACGGGCTCCCATAGCTGCTGCCAGGCCCCTAATCTGCCATGGGCCCCTATACCGCCTCACATGCCTCCTGCCAAGTCCAGAGTCTGCTGGGTCCCTGTACGGCCTCCACAGTGCTGTCTCATGCCACACTCTGCCCACTTTCAGGTCTCTCACACACTGCTGGTGTGTTGAATTTTTTGACATAGGGTGCTGGCAGATTACGGGCCTCCCCATAGCTGCTGCCAGGCCCCTAATCTGCCATGGGGCCTATATACCGCCTCTCATGCTGCTGCCAAGTCCAGAGTCTCTCATGGGTCCCTGTACGGCCTCCCATTGCTGCTGTCTCCATCGCCACACTCTGCCATGTGCCACTTTCAGGTCTCCTCACACACTGCTGGTGTGTTTCAGAATTTTTTGACATAGGGTGCTGGCAGATTACGGGCCTCCCATAGCTGCTGCCAGGCCCCTAAATCTGCCATGGGCCCCTATATATACCGCCTCCTCATGCTGCTGCCAAGTCCAGAGTCTGTCATGGGTCCCTGTACGGCCTCCCATTGCTGCTGTCTCCATCGCCACACACTGCCATGTGCCACTTCAGGTCTCCTCACACTGCTGGTGTGTTGAATTTTTTGACATAGGGTGCTGGCAGATTACGGGCCTCCCATAGCTGCTGCCAGGCCCCTAATCTGCCATGGGCCCCTATATACCGCCTCCTCATGCTGCTGCCAGGTCCAGAGTCTCAGATGTCTCTCATGGGTCCCTGTACGGCCTCCCATTGCTGCTGTCTCCATCGCCACACTCTGCCATGTGCCACTTTCAGGTCTCCTCACACTGCTGGTGTTTTAGAATTTTTTGACATAGGGTGCTGGCAGATTACGGGCTCCTCATAGCTGCTGCCAGGCCCCTAATCTGCCATGGGCCCCTATATACCGCCTCCTCATGCTGCTGCCAAGTCCAGAGTCTCTCATGGGTCCCTGTACGGCCTCCCATTGCTGCTGTCTCCATCGCCACACTCTGCCATGTGCCACTTTCAGGTCTCCTCACACACATGCTGGTGTGTTGAATTTTTTGACATAGGGTGCTGGCAGATTACGGGCCTCCCATTGCTGCTGCCAGGCCCGTAATCTGCCATGGGCCCCCGTACCGACTCCTCATGCTGTGACGTTGCAACAAGGTGGAATTCAACCTACATATGTTAGACCGCCTTTACGAACAGCGAAAGGCCATCACAGATTTCCTGATGTTAAAAGCGGATAAAGGGTACTCCCTGTGTAACTTAGATGGTCAGCATTGGCAGCTCATGCGTGACACCTGCGCTTGCTCAGGCCCTTTGAGGAGGCCACGCTATTCGTGTGAGTCGGCAGGGACTATGGGCTATGAACGACGTCATTCCTCTGTTGCACGTCCTGGAACAAATGCTGTTAACAAATGGCTGGTCAGGGTGCGGTAGACGTGGCGCACAGATCTCAACGCCACATGACCCCTGTGGGGGCAGGACAGGAGAAGAGGAGGAGGACAGGTAGAGGAGGACATTGGTGCTCAGGGAATTATTTTGAGTGAAATGGGTGGTTTTTCCACTCAGCGGACAGGAGTGGAGGAGCAGGAGCATCTGGTAGAGGAGGAGGAGGAGGAGACAGAGGACCCAGACGCACCGTGGCAGTATGCAGTGGAGATGGCTATGGAGGGAGTCCTCGCATTCCTTGGCACAAATGGCCATAGCATGCTGCTTGCTTGCGTGATAGCGACAGCCGAATAATAACCATCAGACAGTGGGATGACTTTTGGCTGTCCACCTTGTTGGACCCTCGCTACCGCTTCAAAAATGGTGGCCTTTTTCACACCTGTGAGAGGGAGGCCAAAATAAGTATAATATGAAAACCACCTATAATAGTCAGGGCTATTGCTTGGCTGTTGAGAACAGCCCAATACAGCCTCAATGGACAAGTGGGCATCCTGTGACATGAGCGTTAAGGTGAAGATGGCAGAAGGGGAGGGGTGGGGTAGGAAACCGATGCTGTCGAGCTAATGCTGATGCTCCACCACTCAGGGCGGCTCAGATCTGCACGTAGAATGATGAGTAGCTAGTTACCAGGTACAGTGAAGATAACTATGATACGGTAGCGCTTGCTAGAAGAAGACCTTAGTAAAAGATGTAAGGTGTAATAGAAGAGACTAAGAAGGTTGATCGCCCCATAAGATTGGCGTAACTAAAAATGACTTTAAGTGGTCCGTTTTAGGTGAATTGGTGTTGTTGAAAGAGATTGAGTCGATGGTAGTCAAGTAGATTCCAACTGTGCATTTTGTGATGGTGATGCTTTTATAGGTATTGGTCATATGGTTGGCGTGTCAGGAGAAGTTCGATAAGGTGAGTGAGAAGTTGCCTACTGCGGGTGTAAAGAGTGGCTATGTAGGTATTCCACCCAACACGTGATGGAGTGACATGGTCGGTAGGAGTGAAGAAGGAAATGGTGTAAGTAAGGCGTGGGAGCCACCGAGTGTGCTTAGGATTTTGATCTAACAGAAGCTAAGAGTAGATGAAGAAGAAATGATAAGAAAGAAAGGAAGTATGTGATTGATTGGTAAAAAACGTTACCAGTGGTGTAGTCATTGTAAGAGTTAATAAGGAGATTGGCAGAGAGAGAGAACTAGAAAAAAGGCTGCCAGGATTCTAAATGCCATGAGAAGAATGGGATATATGATTCCTAAAGGAATGCCAGAGAAAAAGAGAAGGTAATCTGGGGTGAAAAGGAGGTAAGCGAGAAAGAAGGAAGGAATGGGGAAGAAGCAAGGAGAATGATAGACGGATGGAAAGATTGGATGAGACAGAAGTTAGTAAGAAGGATATAAGGATGACGTAAGGTTGAGCTAGACATTGCTGCTGCTTCTTCAGAGTCACACTGTGATAGAAAGTGTGACGAGATTTTCTGGGAGGAGCCGATAGAAGAAGGAGTGAAATTAGTAAGAGGTGCGGGATATCTAAATTAAGACTGGAACTGGCATCTAGGTTACTGCCTAGTATTAGTGTCATTTCCCACCAGATGACTCACAGGGCATTTAGAAAGGAAAGGTGCAGTTGAGAGTCGAGCCCTAGAAGAAGTCTCTAAGACAGGAGAGTAGAAAAACGACGGAAGGACTAATGTTAAATCAGCGTGAAGAAGATAAGAATTCGACCCGAGAGCAGAAAAATGGCTTCTCTCGTGAAAAAAAGCGAAGGTTGAAAAGCTCGAAAGTACGAAAAGTATGGAAGCATAAAAAATCAATAACCAAGAGATTAGAGCCAAGGGGCAATCTGTGAGAAGACTAAAAGAAGGGATAAGATTCGGATGATCAAGTAGGAATAAGGAAGGAAGGGCAGATGGAGAAGAAGGAGATGCAATAAAACATGAGAGTGCAGGATCAATGAACGAGGGAGTTGCAAAGAAAAGGATTTGAGTGGAGAAGAGCCGAGAAGAATGTAAAGAAGGATGTCCTAGAGAGGAAGAAGGATTTTGAAGAAACAGTCTAAGGAGAGAGCAAGGCTGTAATGAGAGAGAAATGCGAGAACAGAAGAAGAAAAAATCGAGGGAGAAGAAAAATGGAAGCAGGAGGAGGTCGAGAAGGGTAGAGATTGGAGGAAGAAGAGGATGAGACGAACTGGAGAGCTTGAGGATGAGAGAAGGAAGAAGGACTGCTTAGACAATGAAGAAGAGGGATGCGAGGAAGCTGAAGAAAGTCTTTCTCTGAGCAAAGAAGTAATGGAGAAGGAGAAGGCATTCATGAGAAAGGATGCCGCGTAGGCGAAAGCTAGAAGATTCTTCCAGATACGAGAAGGAAGGGCAGGAGTGGTGGGAAGGGGGGAAGGAGGGGGGGGGATGAGGAAATAGGAGTTAGAGGAGAGAGAGAGAGAGGAGGTGGGGAAAGTGAGGGGTAGTGAAAGGGGTAGAAGAGAGGGGGAAGGGGGGAAAGGGGGGGCCCCCCGGAAATTTGGAAAATGAAAGGGGATGGCGGGGGAAAAAATAGGGAAAAATTTAGAGGGAAAAAAGGGGAAAAAAAAGAGAAGGAAAAAACAAAGGGGGGTTTAAAAGAGGAACCTCTAATGAAAATCATTACCCGAGTTTACTGCTGGGCCTTTCATTCTAAAAAATTTTATGTACCTGACTGTCCTAAAAAAAAGTTTGGTTTTGGGTTTTCTGAGGATTAAAGATGAAAAAGATGATGAAGCCAATTCATGGGAAAGAAATATGGTAAGTGGTTTTGGTTAATAATGTATGCTTTAGGATGTATTTTTAAAACCCGGCCCGAAAGGGTTTTTCTTGAAATTTTAGTTTCCCAACCCGAAAAAAAATGTTGTTAGCTAAAAAGGAATTTAGGAGCTCACTGGCTTCTTTTTCTGTACAGAGGGCACATCAAGAGCACCACCCGGGCAAAAAGGGGGGGTAACTACTTTTATATGTACAA